AACACCTGTGCCACAGCAAAAGCGGTTGTAAACTCTCACAGATCCAGCCAACGACCCAATCACCCCAAAATCCAAGGTGATCGCATCCACCTCCCTGTGGAACCCGAAACACCAGACAAGCCAAGTGTATACATAGCAATCTTTTAGGACTTGAATTCTTAAAATGCTAAGCAGTTTTTAAAAACTTAAGTCGCACTATGTAGATGTATTACGGTACTGTCTGTTTACTGCGTCTAAACCTTAATTGCGCTTTTATTATGATAATTACGACCAATTTTGCCTGAAGTTAGCATCGTTTAGCATAGCCAAATGGAACCAGAGCCATTTTAGCCTCAGAGACCCTCACAGTTTTAGGTACATTGCAAGGTACAATTAGGTACAATTCTGGCCTGGCAGCTTGTGGCACCGCTCTCATTCTCGGTATGTGACACCCTCCAGGCCAGGCACCAACTGAGCCTCACCAATTGAGCCGGCGCAACGTGCCCCCCACCATAGCCACCGAGCAAAGCTCCGCTCCATCCGCCCTCCAGCCATAGCTGCACCCATTCCAAGCCCAAATCGGTGTACGGAGCAAAGTGGAACTCAGAGAAGCAGGTTTGCTGCTCTGCAACCATTGAAAGGACCTCATTTAATCTTTTAGGGAATTTGGGTGTCGTTAGTCTCTTTGGCTGCTTCCTGCTGTTATTGGGCCGCTGCATTTTAGGGGTAAACATTACAACATTTCAGGAGGTCTCGGTGATTTAAACCACGTGGATCTCAAGCACATACTTAGGCTCCCATCCTCCGTGGAGGCGAAAATAGAACCTCTCCTCCAAAACATCATATTCTTAAGCCCATGTTTTAAATTTAAGCTACCTTTTTTAGCAGTTTCTAAATTTAAATATCTTTCTCCTGTCCGGTACACAAAAGACAACATGAACAACATAACATAAAGCTTTTGACCTTGTAAATCAGCCTTCTCCCCCATTTTTACTTTCCTAGAATCATTGGGGGGTCCTTTTTAACTTATCTGAGTGCGCGCGCACAACCTCCCATTGCTGCTCAGTTTCTGATATGCTCTCTGGACTTTAGAGCGTACCTCTCTAAGCATGCATGCCTGCAGTTCTGAAATCCTCCTGGTCTCCGGCGGTGCAAAGTTCTTCTTCTTCCCGGGTATGGCACCAGATGTCCCGCGCTACCGTCTCGCCAGCAAGAACCATGTGGGACACATAGGATACTTTTGTAGAAATAGCTTTAATCCTCTTGGGAGCTAGAGCATAAGCCATATGGCGGAGACCCAGATATGATGGAACCCATCCCTTTTATAGGAAACAGACCCTGCTTCGGACGTGTCACTCTTGGATTGGTCCGCTGCTCCCAGTCCCAGGTGATGCCTCGGGAGTAGGCGGGGACTCAGTGGGAAATTACCGAGCACATGTGCGTTCACCTGGCGGTGAGGCCAGATGTCAGCGCCATCTTGATGATGGAGAATGTGGCTGCGGCCTTCTACACTGCTTAGCCATTTTGCCAGCCTCCCACTGTCCTTATCTAATGACGGGTACAAATGAAAAACTGTAAGTGAATATTTCAGTACAATCATTTGATGTGAGATTCCTCTCTGTACGCTATAAATATGTTTTATTACCATTGATTAGTAAAGAAGCTGCTTTATTTAGCCTATGGCAGGGTAGAATATAGTTAGGTGGGAAAACTAAACTGAATGCAGAGAGAAAGAAGGCAGAGTCAGGAAGATGCTATGTAGCTGCCCAAGAAGCAAGATATGAGGTAACAAAACATGATCTTCATGGTGAACTAGAAAATAATAGAAATGGGTTGATTTAAGATGTAAGAGCTAGCTAGAAATATGCCTGAGTCATTGGCCAAACAGTGTTATAATTAACATAGTTTGTGTGATTATTCAGGTCTGGGTGGCTGGGAAATGAAAGTACAGTTTTTGTTTATAGTCATTAAATATTATTCCTTGGCTATGATGCATCTGCTTGTAGTTTGAATAGAACTTTGATGATGAATACTTTATCAAAATCTGTTATATACATTATATGGCTTAGTCTGACAACGGCAGCTCTAGGAAGGAACGCATTTAACTCGGGGCTGGTTTTCATTTTCAGAGGGTTAGTCTATTATTTTCATAGCAGCCCACAAAGTACTGGAGCTGCTACATCCTGATCCATGAAGGGGCGGGAAAAGAGAGAGAAACAGAGAGACAGAGGGACTGAGTCTGGCATGGGCATTTGATACCTCAAAGCCTACCCACTATGACACACTTCCTACATAAAGGCTGCATCTCATAATCCTGTAATCTTTTCAAAGAGTTCCACTCCCCGGTGAGTAAGCATTCAACTGTATGAGCCTATGGAGGTCACTCATATTCAAACTATCACATTATTTAACTAGTTATGTATGACTAAGTATTATAAAAGCCCATCTGAAGAACTGGGGAAATGGCTCAGTTGACAAAGTGCTTGCTATACAAACACAAGAATTTTAATTTTGACCCCTAGCACACATGTAAAACAACAAAACAAGGGTGGGTGCGTTGAATCTGGAATCCCAGTGCTGGGGAGACAAGACCAGAAGATCCCTGGAGTTCACTGACTAGCCAGCCTAATTGGAGAGCTCCATGTCCACTGAGAACCCTGTCTCCAAAGACAAGGTGGAGAGCAGGAAGACGTCTCAATGTGTGAGACACTTGCTGCCAAGCCTGATGATAAATAACCTGAGTTTTATTCTGGTACTCACAAGGAGTCAGACATTTGGTTGGACTTATTATTAGCTACGAAAGCTTAACCAATAGCGTAGGCTTATCCCCTAGCTCTTTTTTTTTTTTTTTTTTTTGGTTTCTCGAGACAGGGTTTCTCTGTGGCTTTGGAGCCTGTCCTGGAACTAGCTCTTGTAGAGCAGGCTGGTCTTGAACTCACAGAAATCTGCCTGCCTCTGCCTCCTGAGTGCTGGGATTAAAGGCGTGCGCCACCACCGCCCGGCGTGTCCCCTAGCTCTTATGACTTAAATTAACCCGTTTCTATTCGTCTATGTGTTGCCACATGACTTGTGGCATTTACCTGTCCTCCTGAATGTCTTGCTCCCTCTCTGTTAACATTCCATGATGGGCACATGCACACATACACACACACACACACACACACACACACACACACACACACACACGGAGAGCAATAGAGAAAGACATCTGAAGTTGATCTCTGGCCTTCACAATCATACACACATGCATGTGCACTCCCTCATGAACATGTATATATACCACCCACACACTCACACACAAAACCCATCCGAATGGAGAGGGGATAGAAGTGGGATGAGAGAGAAGTATGGGGTAAATAGGATCAGTGGATGTTTACATATGTGAAAATGGCAATAAAGTTCACTTTTGTATTAATAGCATGCTAGTTAAAAACCATGAGGAAAAGTCTATTATTTATTATCACACATAAATACGCAGATTTAAAAACCCATCCAATGGGGCTAGAAAGATGACTTGGTGGTTAAGAACACCTGCTGCTCCCGCAGAGAACTCAAGCGTGGATCCTAGCATCCACATGGTAGTTTACAACCACCTGTAACTCCAGTTCCGGGACTTGAAACTCTCTTCTCATCTCCATGGACACCAAGCACATAGGTAACACACATACATGCAGGCAAAACACTCATACATATTAAAAAAGAAATAAGCAAATAAAGCAAGCAAACAAACCAACCCCACCCATCTGATTATAAAATGCAAAGCACCCAAATTCGGTAAAGAATATAGATCACCTTGACAGGTTGGGGTGACAGGGCGCATGCCTTAAATCCCAGCACTCAGGAGGCAGAGGCAGGCAGATCTCTGTGAGTTCAAGGCCAGCCTCGTCTACAAGAGTTAGTTTCAGGACAGGTTCCAAAGCAACAGAGAAACCCTGTCTCAAAAAAAAAAAAAAAAGGAAAAAAAATATAGATCACCTAAATGAGCTCCACTTAATATATATTTTTTTAATTTTTCTTTTTTTGTTTTTGAAATTAATATTATTATACAATTTTCCCCTTCCCTTTTCTCACTTCAAGCCCTCCCAAGTACCATCCTCCATTTGCTCTCCTTTTTAAAAACCCATCTAATAGGGCTGCTGAGATGCCTCATTGGGTAAAAGCACTTCCTACCAAACCTAATAGCAGAGACAACTGTTAGCATTCAGGCATTTACACTGGCCTGCCCTCAGGGACCTAGCAGGATGTGTCAGCAGCAGCAGCCAAGATGTGGCACTGTGCATGTGCTCTATTCCCTGGTAAAAAGCAAGCCCGTATCGCTCCACTCTTCCTCCTTCCTTCTGCTCTTACTTGGAGGTCACCTCTGCACGCACGCACACCTGCAATAAACATCCTGTGTGAGCTCTGTTGCATGGGATGACTCCTTGGCTCCAACCCACCAAGGTTATCTTCCGCAATTAAACTATGACAACAACCAGAACTGATCTCTGGGACCCATATGGTACATGGAATTGTTCTTTAACCTCCACAGTGTGCCAGAGAACACATACTAATAAATAAATAAACAAGAATATAATAAAAAAAATTTGAGACAGGATCTCACTGTGTAGCTTTGGATGACCTGGAACTCGCTGTGTAGATCAGTGTGGCCATGAATTCACAAAGGTCTTCCTGCCTCTGCCTCCCTGCTGCTGGTATTAAGGGTGTGTGCCACCACTTCAGGCCAATTTAAAGCAAAACAAACGAAACAAAAATCCCCAAACAAACATTAACAGAGTAGGTTTAAAAAGCTACACAGATGAAGTTGTATGCATGTGGTGGTGTGCACCTGTATTCCTGGAGGCTGAGGCAAGAGGCGCAGCAGTCAGCTGCTCACGAAGTCAAGGTTAACCTTGGCTACCCGAGACCTTGTCTCAAAAAACAGAAAAGGAAGAAAGAAGAAAGGAAAGAAAGACAGGAGGGAAGTGACAGGTAATTTTGAACCCTGGTAAGTTTCTCCGACAACACAGTAAGCCAGATCAAGCCAAGTTAAAAGACCAGGTTTAATCTGAGCAAAGCAATCCCAGTGACTGTCGGGAAAGTGAGCAGAGGAGAAATCACAGTGCAGGTCCCAGGACCAGGTCTTAACTCCCCTGTAGGTGAGGTCTTGAGCTTCAGGGGAGGAGCTGGAATTTAGGCAGTCTTTCTGAGGGGGCAGGGTCTGGAGAGGGAGGAGCAGAGCCAGGCTAGAGTTTCCAGCATAGCATCCCGACCTTCTTGGATAAATAGGTGATGGTTCAAGTCTTGTTACTTCCTGTTGGTGTAGGACAACATGGTGACGGGGAGGCGGAAGTCAGTGGACTCACGCTCAGCCAGAGGTAAGAGTGAAGAAGCATTCAGTTAACTGCCATCCTGGAGACCTCAGGAATCTGTTTCTTGAGGAAGCAGAGAAGGCAAGTTGCTAGGAGAAGAAAAAAAAGGGGGGTTATTATCACAGCCCTAGGAATGAGGCTAGCCATGGGAAGAGTGGAGATTGCCGGTAAGAATGAAGCGGAGACATGCCCTGGTTGTACATAAGAGGCAAGGTTGAATGACAAAGATGAATGAGCAAGACACAAGAGCAGATATGCTCTTCATTGGGACATTTTGAGAAATCGGAAGGTAGAGGGTCCCAGTTATTGGACAGACCATTTATCCCGGGTAGGTGCCCACTGGAGATGTGGTACCAGCGCTGATGTCCCAGGAGCTTGTGGGGGGGGGGGCATGGCATGCCAAACTGGGGATATGTTCCAGGAGTAACTGCACCATCACATCTGCTGAGATGGGAAATGCCACCATCCATCCTGTAAAGGTGTCAACAAGAGATAATGGAGCTTTTTATGAGTGGGCATGTGGGTAAAGTCAACCTGCCAGTCCTTGCCCAATTGGTATCCTAGCTTGGTGTCCTCAGAGCTGGTACAGGGGCTGGCATAACTGGAAAGCCCCCTGCCATTTGGCCTTGGCACATGTCTAGCAGGAGGAGTGGGCCTGTAAAGTAGGAAGAGAGAAAGGAAGGAAGGGAGTCGGGAGGGACGAAAAGGACAGGAAAAGGGAAAGAGAGAAAACTATACTAATGTAAATTGAAGAAGCATGATTCTCTCTCTCTCTCTCTCTCTCTCTCTCTCTCTCTCTTTCTCTCTCTCTCTCTCTCTGTGTGTGTGTGTGTGAAGTGCTGCATATGCATGTGTGTGGATGTGCATGTGGAGGCCAGAGGGTCAGCCTTGAGTGTCATTCCTTAGAATCATGCACTTTATTTTTTTTTATATTATTTTATTTATTTATTTATTATTGTTTTGTTAGAGACAGGGTTTCTCTATGCAGTCCTGGCTGTCCTGGAACTCTCTCTGTAGAACAGGCTGACCTTGAATTCAGATTGGTCTGTAGAACAGGCTGACTTTGAATGCAGAGATCCCTCTGCCTCTGCCTCTCAGGTGCTGGGATGAAGGTATGTGCCACCACTGCCTAGCTACATGCACCTTATTTTTGGAGACAAACTCTCTCGCTGGCCTTTTCTCTAAATAGGCTAGGCTAGCCCCAGGGATGTTCTGCTTCCTCCCAGCACTGGCAACACACCCATGTGCCATCCTTGCTGGCTTTTTCTCCCATGGGTTCTGGGATTGAAATCATGTTCTCATTGGCATAGCAAGTACCTTGTCTATTGAGCTACTCCTCAATCCCAGCAGAGTAATTTATATACACAGAAAATTTAAAAATCAACTACGTTTTTTCTTTTTTCTCTTCTTTCTTTCTTTCTTTCTTTCTTTTTTTTTTTTTTTTTTGGTTTTTCTAGACAGGGTTTCTCTGTAGTTTTGGAGCCTGTTCTGGAACTAGCTCTTGTAGACCAGGATGGCCTCAGACTCACAGAGATCTGCCTGCCTCTGCTTCCTGAGTGCTGGGATAAAAGGCGTGCGCCACCACTGGCTACCAGTGTACTTAACTGCTGAGCCATCTCTCCAGCCCCCTGTTAGGAATCTTAATGTAAATGTCTGATATATGACCCCATTCTACCCACAGGCTGAGAACCGCTGTTCCAGCCTCAGCTTCCTGAGGAGCGCATGCCACACTCATGTGTCTCCTGATCTGTTTTCTTAGCCTCAAGAATTAGCATTGAGGCGGGGTTTATCCTCGGTCTGTTCTTTTCTTTTTAAATTAATTTATTTTTTAAAGCAATCTTTTTTCATTTTACATACCAATCCCAGTTCCCACTCCTTCCCCTTCTGCTCCCCCAACCTTTCCCCAACATCATCCCCCCCATCCATGCCTCAGAGAGGGTAAGGCTTCCCATGGGGAGTCAACAAAGTCTATCTAGCACATCACTTTGAGGCAGGACCAAGGCCCTCCCCACTATATCTTGGCTGAGCAAGGTATCCCTTCAAAGAGAATGGGCTCCAAAAAGCCAGTACAAGCACTAGGGATAAATCCTGGTCCCACTGCCAGTGGCCCCACAGTCTGCCCCAGCCATTCAATGGTCACCCACATTCATAGGGCCTAGTTTGGTCCTATGCTGGTTCTGCCGCTGTCAGTTCGGAATCAGTGAGCTCCCTTTACTGTTCATTCAGTAACTCCGTCTTGGAAAAAAAAATGTTGAGTACCTGCAAAATACAGAAACCTTTGAGGATAGTTGGTTCTAAGTAGTTTAAAAACTAGGAAGATTGTAATAAGAAAATAAGGCACTAGAAGATGATAGTTAGGTGTGATTTTTGGATTGAGCTATTTAGGCCCAGAAAGAGTTAAAGGGAAGAGCTGGTAGATGGGACCATCTGGGCCATGGGGTGGGTGGGTGGGGTCGGGGGAGATTGTTAGGGAATTTGATGCTGGGCTGAGGGAACTGGGCTGGGTCTACTTCCAGCATCTTTCTCTAATTATGAGCCAGAGTCTTCTGCAACCTCCAGCCTTGCTGCACAACCTAGAGCGCTTGTAAAATTACAGAACGGCACAGAGAGCACAAAGACTGGAAGTTGGTTCGGGCCCTTGACGGCAAGTGTGCTTGGGCAAGTTGCTCATCTTCTATGAGCGTGCTTTCTCAGCTGCAGAATGGGAAGATGTAGCTTGTGTTTTGTCCAGACTCACTGACGTTTGCCTGCTCTCTTTGGCTAGCTGGTTACAGTTTTGGGAAGTGTACTCACTCTCCTGTGGTGGGAGGAGCAAAGCTCGGCCAGGGGCTTTCACACACCCAACCATTTCCATTCCCACCTCCCCTCCTCCTTTTTACTCCCCCCCCTTTCCCCTCCCACTTAGATTCAGAACCGTTGTTGCCAGGGATTATGGCCCTTTGTTCTCTGGAGGCTTAAACCACCACCTGTTTTGCCTTTGATTTGTTGTTTAAAAGGTGTCTCCTGTTGTGTTCAGACTACTGCTAGCTAAAATTGTCAAAATATGCAGCTAATGACTGTAAGTATCATACTGGTTCAACACTAGTACATAAAGTGCCTGTCCCTTTTCATTTTTTTTTTATTCCTGATTATCCCTACTTGCAATAACCACCTCCTTTACTTGTTGGCATGACCATTTAGTGCTAACACAAAGGTATCTTTTAAAAGCAATATACATCTTCATCTGATATTCTCTCTTTCTCTGTGTGTGTCTCTCAGAAAAGGCTTTGCCTACAGGTTGGCCTCTAATTTCTCATCTTCCAGCCCGATTTTTATTGCAGCATAGATTATGTCCATGACCACCGTGGGGACTTTCAGTGGATTGTAAACTTTCTCTGCAACTTGAATATATTCATACAGATCACCTAGGATGGAAGAGGGACAGCAAGGTGGCTCAGTAAGTAAGGACCCCTGTTGCCAAGCTTGGTAAACCCGAGTTTAATCTTGGGGCCCACACGGTGGAAGGAGGAAACCTGCTTGAACATGGTGGCCCCTGGTCTCCATAGGCAGTGCCTTCACCATAATAAAAACAAACAAACAAACAAACAAAAAACCAAAACAAAAACCCAACAAAAAAACAAAACAACACAACAACAAACCAAACCTGGGGATCTTGTTAAAAATGCAGATTAGTAGATGGGGGATGTTGAAGTGCTAACTAGTCCTCAGGTGAAGAAACAAAACAATCTGGGGATCTTGTTAAAATGCAGATTAGTAGATGGGGGACTGCTAGCTAGCTCTCAGGTGAAGCCCAGGCTGTGGCCTGAGCACAATTGCAGTTTCAAGGCCCTGCAGCTTTGAGGACAATGGCTGGGTGCTGCTTTGATACTTGTTACTTAGGATCAGACATTTCCCCATCTCTTTCCAGGTCCGAGATTTCCACCACACCTGACAGTTGTTTGATAATCGCTTAGCTGTGCTTTCTTCTCTTTTTTGTTTTCCTTCCCTTCTTAATCAACAGTGACTTATAACAGGGTCTGTTTCTGCTCACATCTACACTGAAACATCAGTAATCCAGTTTTGTGCTGTTGTTTTTTTTCTTTCAAGACATGTTTTCCCTGTCTAACTCTGGCTGTCCTGGATTTAGCTCTTTAGACCTGGCTGGTCCTGAACTCACAGAGATCCATCTGCTTCTGCCTCCATAGTGCTGGGACTAAAGGTGGGTGCCACCACCACCTGGCAGTAATCCAGTTTTAAAGAATCAGTTTTACCTCCTGTGCACTTTTGGATAGTCTCCTAAATACAATATCAAGTTCAGAACGACAAGCTTGATGAAACGCCACCAATAATTCCCATTATTTCTTTTAGCGCCACATGGAACTCTCTGAATAATGAAGATCTACAGTTGCCTCCTTGCAGTAATTTAACATTCAGTTGCCTTATTTCCTTTTAAAGGCATGGGATATTCCTTTAAAAAAATAAAATCCCGCAGTTTTTTTTTATTCAAACAAAGCTTTTTCGAATTTATTTTCAGCTGTCTTTATTTAAAGCAGTATTAGATAGGCATAAATACTTAAACGTTTTAATATTTTTCACGTCCTTAATGTTTCTAGCATGTCTTATATAGGAAAGGAAATATCTGAACTTGTTCATGCGGGTATATTCAGTATCAAACAGTGCTTTATTATAAACAGCATTTTGGGGCGAATCAATGAAGGATGAAAGAAAAGATGCATTTTTTAAAAATACTTAAATGTCTTCTAATATGCCACATATTTGTTGGAAACCAGGGTGTTAATGGATCAGAAAAATTAGACAGTTCTTGTACAGTAAAAATCATGAAGTGTCAATCCACATCAGAAAGCAGGGTATATTACAAAATATTAAAAACATGCATTGGCTAAAGGATCAAAAATGAGATCACCTTTACAAACGCTTTAAGAGGTGAAATACGTAGGTGTTAGTAAGACTTCTGTCTCGTACCACCTATTAGCCACCGCTCTTCTAAGGAAATAACATTCTAAATTTAGTTTGGGCCCAAATCCATATCCCAACAAGCTAACTGCGCTTTCGGTGTCATTGTTTTGTACCTTTCACGTTTTGCATCCATGGGATTGCATTTTTCTTAACGGTTCTCCGTGGTTGAAATGTTAAAGAAATGAAATAGTGCTTTCTCATGTTACAGTCCAAAGGAAACGAAGACTGCAAAGCCCATTCTGCGATGTAGAAGAGGCCTACAAGGTGCACACCCTGCAACTGCTTCATAGCCCAATTTGATCTCTGGGTTTTTGCACGGCTCCTCTTTTTTTTTTTTTTTTTGGATGATGTAAACCGCGCAGGAGCATTACAGTGCCCCCACCTTGGAGGAGGATGCGAGAACAATCACCTTGAACTGCCAGTTTTTCTTAAACATGTAGCCATGGGCTACAGGCCCGAATACCCGCCCCCAAACGGGGTTCACAACAATCGTTTCCTCCCTCCCCGCCTTTTACATACAGTACACATACAAATACACACACGCAGAGCAGCCAGCAGGGGCGGGCCGGGCGCGACCACTGTGCCAGCCACGGGGGTGGGAGACAGTCAGCTCCGGCCCGCCTCCCTGGAGGCCCTTTCCCCTCCCTCCGGTCCCACGGCACCTGGTTGCGGTTACTTGTAAGCAGGGGCACCTGTGGGCCCTAGCGTCTCCAAGAGCTTCGCTTCCGAGCCACGACCCTCGCCAGTCGCCGCGCCACCCCCACCTGGGCGAGCAGTTGGTACGGCCCAGCGCT